TATGATCATAAAATCAATAAGATTCATATAAAACGTAACTGTTTGTTGTACTACTAAAGTATAATTTATACTTCTTTTGAGGAAAAATTCTAGAGGAGTGCTCGAGATAAAAGGGTTCGATATCTTTAGCTGCAAACAACGGACGGTTATTTTGTTGGGAGCGATTAACATGGCAGTTACTAGACCTCCCGTGCTCATTCCTACAATAACATCAAAGTAATCTGCAAGTCTACGCTGTCAAGCACCTGGCAATGAAGAACACATCTCCAAGGTTGTTAAGGTTGCATTGAAATCTAACTGTTATGTGTTTGTTAAAATTATCAATTAGTCAAGATTTTGAAGAAAAAATGAATCTGGCCCTGCACAAGGTTGGATGCGTTGAAGAGAATTAGAAAATAAATAAATGAGTTTCTTCCCCAAAGTTTAAGCTTTTGAATAAAAATNGATGCGTTGAAGAGAATTAGAAAATAAATATATGAGTTTCTTCCCAAAAGTTTAATCTTTTGAATAAAAATAGGAACAAAGCTATTTAAAAGTGAATTACCTGAAGTTGATATTCAAGATATTCAAGGATAGTGGCAGGAATAATTCCTCTAATACCACCCCCATCAATGCTCAGAATTGTTATTAGATTTCCATAAGTAGGGGGTTGTATCTGAACTGAGGATGAAGCCTTCTTCATATTTATATAAAAATGCCTGTGTTTAGAAACTAACTAAAGAAGATTCAAGAGCACTTTTAAGCAATTTTCTAGCTTTGCTTTTGGATAAAACTTGTGTACTTTGGGGATATATTTATAGCTCTGATCAGGGCTAATTACGTATGCATGGGGTCACTGGCGGAACTAGGGGGTGGCCTTGGGAGGCATGTGCCCCCCCTCCCCCCAGATTTTGAATTTTTTTTTTAATAAGAAATAAAAAGGGAAGAAATAATAGAAGTTAGCAGTTAGAAAACCCTCCTAGCCTCCCCTTCACTCAGCTCTCTCCGTCTCTCCCGTCTGTGAGTCTGTGACGTCCGTCCTTCTCGGTGTCTCCTTTCTCCGGTCATCTCTAAGCCAGCAGCCTCTCTCCCAGGCCACCCCCCTGTCCCCCAGTTCCGCCAGTGACTCCCACGGGCTCGAGCTCGACAATCACGGCACCACTCTTCGTGCCCGCGCCTGCACCGTTCCAGCTTCCAAGCTTCACCCCCTCCTCCTCACTAGTCACTCCTTCCAGCCAGTGCTCGGTGCTCCAGTGCCTATCCTCCCAGTTCCGCCAGCAGACTCTAAGGTAAGTTCCACATCCGAGACTGAGTGTATTTATTAATTATTGGGTTTCATTTCTTATGGTTTTCTGATTACTGATTTATGTATTTCATATTGTGTTTGTTATTATGTGATTTAGGGATTTCATGTTGAGGTATATGAATTGTGTTTGCTATTTACTGATTTAGGGATTTATTGATTTTCAATTTTACTGATTTAGGTATTTCATATTGTGTTTGTTATTTAGTGATTTAGGGATTTCATAATGAGGTATATGAATTGTGTTTGTTATTTACTGATTTAGGTAGTTATTGATATATTGATTTAGGGATTTAGAGATTTAGAGTTTTTTCGAAATTGATAGTTAGGGATTTCTAATTAGGGCTTTTAGGGAGTTAGGGATTTTGATTAATTTCATTTATTGAGAAGGCAATTTTCCATTTTGATTAAGGGACTTCTAATGTGATTAATTTTATTTTTTTTGCATCATTTATGGACAAATACTTTAAACGTAAGTCTATAATTTCTTGTGATGAGCAAAATACCGACGAAAGGAATGTTCGAGACAAAAGTGATAAAAGAAATGTTGATGTTGATGTTGGTTTTGGTGTTGGTGTCGATGTTGATGTTGATGTAGAAGAAGTTGGGGATGTTAGAGGAGTCGGGGATGTTGATGTTGCAAATCTTCTCGCTGATCCTGGATTGAGAATTCCAATACAGAATTAAGATATTAATTATCGAGACGTGATTCAAAGAGCATATGTGCAAAGGGGTCCTTGTCAGCCTCACAGTCATGCTTTTCCATCCACAAGAATGGGTAACAAAGTTAAGAGATTTTG